CTGTGTATCTGCATGCAGACGAGGAAATGAGATTTCTCCTATATTTAAAACATCAAACCAAATTTCTTCTTATTTTATTGATTTCAAAACATATTTTCTCTGAACTTGAGTCATATTCATCTAGTGACCCTATTGTTACAGCCATTAGGACAGAAACGTCTATAAAGGCGATAAGATAGTTAATTTGCTGTAACAAAATTGTGTACAGAAACTGTTGCAAACACCTACCATAGGTTTATATGCAGTTTCACAATAAACACCGGATTGGCAAACTCATTGATTCCAAAGAATATCGAAAACGGACTAATAAATTCGAAAGAAAGGAAAAAAAAACATGTAATATTTTTCTATAAATTTAATGAAGGCAAGACCACTGCAAACTGATGCCCGACATCGTGTAGACCTAATTCACAACTTCTAATTGAGATTACACCCTAAGTCCCTAAACTCCAACAAAATATGAATTAGACCCTAACAAACTAAATGAAATCATCATTAATAAATAAAATGCCCAAAATCGAATCAAGTCTTTCACACGCTTTTATGTATTGTGTTGGACTGCATCATTCTTCTCGGATTGAAGAAGCTTTGCCATCGAATCCTGCCACCTTTTTTCACCCATCTCGTTATTCTCGTATTGGTAGAAATTCACCTTCTCTTGAAAATCCAGCCGAAAGGATTGCTTTGATGTTTGTATAGTCTCTGGCAAAAGGAACATTGATGCCACTAACCGACAACACTGCAAGAATGATTAGACCTTTCGACATTTTATGTGTGTCATGAATTTTAATGGTGTATAATGATTGAACAAGGAATAATAAAACATAAAATCATAGGAAAATCTAAATCCTGCTGTCTCAATTTTGGATTTACTGACATTACTAGAGAACTCATCATGGATGGTTTTGATTGTTCACAACAATGTTATAATTGATTTATCGTAGGTAAATGAACGGAAATGTTCAGGGTGGATACAGATCCCCACCTACCTTTATCCTTTCTATTTTGCGTGTCCATTACATCTTAAGCTTTTGTCAGCAACATCTCTAAGATATTTTCACATGGAAAATTTTAATTTGCAGTCATCATTGACTATGGCATGCTTAATCTATGCTCTTTCTCATGTAAACATCATAGTCAACTCGAGAGCATAATACATGTTGCCCCAATTTATATCAAGATCTATGGGTGAATTATATTTGATATAAGTATTTCTTACCTGAACTAAAACTTGTAGTTCGATTTTGCTAGTGGCAGAAAGCAGTTTTAAGTTCATAATGCATCCAGATTTGAGAACTTTTTCCAACTCCAGGTTCTGCTGTTGGATTCAAGTTGGACAGTCTTTTAAAACTCTCTGATACTCGTGCTAACAACAAGATGACACTCATGCATTATCTTTGTAAGGTATAAACCCATCAGTTTTTCCTGTAGATTTTCGTTTTGTAATCTTTATGAGAAACTTATGGATTTTTAAAGTATTTGTTAAACAATTGTCAGCAGTTGTTATCAGCAATTTAAATTACAGAAAATCTTTAGCCCCCCTTTGGCCCCTATTAATTTTCATTCCATTACATTCTATTTTTCTCTCTCCTATTTTCAACCACACAATCTTCCATAAAATGATATTACACGTAAATCGAAAAAATTTTCTTCTTTTTCAACGACTTATTTTTCAAAAAAATACTATTCCACCCATTTTCATTTCTAAGAAATGGGGGGCCAAACGGGGGCTTAATATCTAGAAAATTTCATCACGGCCATTCTTCTCTAAATTATGTAATCAATAGTAGATTACAATAAAGTCTCTCCTTACCCAACTTCATGGGATTTGTTCATGACGTGTTGTGTGTACCATGGAAATCTGTGGATAAATAATATCAGATGTACGTAAAACGGAGATTGTTTGTGTCTGAATCACTTTCTTCTTGTTTCTCAGGTTCTTGCATCTAAGTCACCAGCTCTTTTAGACTTCCATGAAGATCTTGTTAACCTGGAAGCTGCCTCAAAGGTTTGGTATTTATCTTCCCATGGATGTGATAGTCTTTAGGTACTGTAATTGGTATGTATAGTGAAGGCTTGCTTTGCAGATACAATTGAAATTTTTAGCAGAAGAAATGCAGGCAATTATCAAGGGATTAGAAAAGGTAAAGCAGGAATTGGCTGCTTCAGAAAATGATGGTCTTGTATCTGAAATTTTTAGAAAGGTAATGTCTGGTATAATTTTTTTATTTTACTGTATATTTGATATTCCATACATATCATGTATTCAATCCATTTTATGGAATGAACACCGGAGCATATCAGATGTGCGTTCTGAAATGAACTGAACCGGTTTTAGTTGTTTATCTTGAAGGGCTGTCCCTCCCTTTTGTTCATTCCGAAGCATTTATTCCATCTCCTAACATGTGATTCACATTTTCCTCATAGACGCTAAATCAATTCATTGGTGTTGCTGAGATAGAGGTGGCCTCTGTTACAAATTTATATTCTGTTGTGGTAAGTTAGCACTGGATTCTCGTTTATTGTATTATATGGTGGCATTGGGGTTACTGACCAATGAAAATATTATCTTTCTTCCGATGTTTCTGTAAATTCTTAATGCATCTGTTCGGGTTAATTATGCAAATGATGTTTGTCATTGTTGGCAGGGACGAAATGCAGATGCACTGGCTCTATATTTTGGTGAAGATCCTGCCCGCTGCCCATTTGAGCAAGGTAATATGAATATTATAGTTTAGTTTTATGTCTGACCTTGATATTGAAAATTGTTGATCCAATTTTATAATTTATGCAGTTACCGCTACCCTCTCAAATTTTGTGAGGTTGTTTCGGAAAGCTCATGAAGAGAATGGTAAACAGGCTGAACTAGAAAAGAAGAAAGCTCAAAAGGAGGCTGAAATGGAGAATGCAAAGGGAATAAATCTATCAAAGGGTTCAAAGGACTGAGAATTGTTTTAATATTTTCTCAAGAATTCACGTTTCTTCCACAATGGTCAGCCCATGCGGTTTAAGACTGTTGACCAATGCACATTAGGTGACCAGCCACCTGCCTTGCATTCTGATGTAGTTCTTTAACTTTTGGGGAGTCTCAGAAGCTGGAGCAAGAGAACTAGCTGATGAAGCTTGAAAAACCTGAAAGTTTTGAAAGAGAGCAATTAAGGTATCAATGAGATGCTTTTCCGCTAGATGGAGGATGCAAAAAACTGACTTTTCATGTGCAGACCACCTGGTTTTACCATCTTAAAGCAGTTCTTATTGATGTTGGAGCTGGGATTTTCCTCAAATGATTTATCAGAGGTAGGCAGTGGATCCCTCTCTTGAACATTACAGGACCGAATTTTTTGATGCCCTAGGTTCTGTTTAGCAAATTTAGCATAAAGCATGGTGGTTTGGTTTGATTCGGCTTAAGCATCACCACCTATTCTGTGTATCAGCTTGCAAGAGGATATGTCGGAATTGTCAAGCAGATAACCAAAATGTACTATGAAACTTGTACAGAACTCAACCCTGTTTTCAGATGAAAGCTAATTCTTTTTGTTGTAACATAAGGAGAAAAGTTGGTCCCTTTCTGTAGTCATGTTTTGATGGGAACCCACGACATCTGTATAGAAGTAGAGGATTAAATAGAATGTAGAAAGTAGGTTCTGTTAGTGTAATAGTAATGAAATCCAGGTATAGGTTTAGGTTTCAAATATTCTGCTAAATTTTATTTTATTCAACTCATCATTTATTAAAAGAGGCATTTTTTCATCTCTCCTGTAATTTCGATACTCTTTTATAGTTGAGTTGGCATAAGAAGTCTCTTTCTTAGTTTCTTTTTGTTCTCTGTTGGTAGTGTTTTAATTGAATTTCTTTGTAAACAAACTGGATTAATGAAGCTTGATTGAAACGAGGGTTATATAGCAATGCATCTTCTTTCAGTTACAATCAGTCATCATTCAATGCCTGGTACTTGCACTAAAATTAAATTTCGATGCTACAGTTGATACCAAAGTGTTTATAGAATGTGCGTAATAGATAGATGGTATTAAAAACGCCCGTTCATTTAATTTCCACCAATATAGAATATTTAACTTATCTTACTCTGAAACATGTTCGAATAATTTTTTGAAAGTCATTTGTTTGGCTAAAAATGATTTTAGAAGTAAGCATAAACCCTACCAAACGGTCCTAAATAGTTGTCATTTTTCAAAATCATAATTGCTAATTAAGAAGGTAAGAGGTTCTTGCTACTAACCTCATTTGTTTCTCATTTTTTGAAAAATGAGAATGAAAAATATAATCGTTACGGGTCTCAGACAAGATATAGAAATTCAAATTTGATGACTTGATATGATGAATAACAATCATATTTTTCATTTTAATGAGGAAATAATGGGAACCCAATAAGGGCAAAATAAAACAAGAAAAACGTAAAGAACTGAAATAGAAATTTCACATTTTTCTTCTTTCATAGCTTCACAGGTCTACAATCACAAAGACGTGTTAAATTTGTAGTATTTAAGACCGTGGTGGTCATGACCACTACCCAAAAAAATAAAAAAGAACTGTGTTCTACAAAATATTGAACTAAATAATATCAATATTTATTATGCTGGTTAAATTTTAGTCTTATTGATTTTCTACTGCTTAAACAACATTTCTTTAATGGAAAAACCATAGCAACTTAGCAAGACATGCAAAAAAGGCATTCTGTCATTTTGTCAATCCAATTGCACTAATGAAAAGGTTGAGCTAATTTTTTTATATATATATGATAAGGATAAATCCAATCCAAATAATGTCAAGGAAGGTAAGAACCTCATATTGTTTACTTAGAGATAGTTCACAAGTTCAAAGAAATAATGCATTAAAACCAACAAATGAAATATTAGTCAAGTCCTCGCTGTTGTCTCCTCGTGACCAGCCTATTTACATAGTACAATGGATCAATAGCTTCAACACAGTACTCCATTTGTTAGTGTGTACAAACGCCTTCCACGAGCAACAATAAAAGGTCTTGAAGAAAGTTTCGGATTTGAAGAAATTACGAGACAATGACTATTGATGTGGAAGATCAATGGTTTTATCTCCAAGAAGGGTTTCCTCAGGACCATGGCTTCAAAAAAAAATAAAAAAAAAAATAAAAAATAAAAAAAGGTTAGTTAATTATCACTCCAAAAAGAGAAAAGGATATGTAGAAAGGAGTATTTTGATATGTTGTTACCTGAGGTAGCTTAAAGCCGACATCCTGTAGAGGCAGGTGAACACTAAAACGTGCAATCCAATGGTATAGAAAAACGCAAAGGTTCTAGCATACCTGAACCAGACCAGATTGTCATTTGATGCATTGCATCAACTAAGGCACAAGTTAACATTAGAGTTTTGTGTAGTAAAATATAGTAAATCAAGAAACAGCAATACTTGTATATGAAAGATAAGAAATTTGGAACTCACGTCTACAAAATGACTAATTTCAATTATTTAAAATAACAAAAATAAGTCTTAATTATATAGTAAGTGCATATTTAGGAGGGGCTCTTCAGGAACACGTCTGCTTTATGAGAATATGGTTAGAATGAATTGAATGGTTTAGCATTCTCTTTGTGCAAGAGAATGAATAATCTGTAATATTTGGTTTGCAAAGTTGAGAAGTAAAATTTTACAATCAGAATACAAGAGTAAGGCAGTGAAAAGAATGCTGAAATGAAGAAGAAAGAACAGAAAACATTAAATCACAGTGTAACTCAAGCTGGCACAACATGAATCTTGGGAGACTAGAATTAGGAGTAAATCAGGAAAAGAAGCTAGAGAACCACTTCGCTGTTTGCAAGCATAAGACACAAAAACCAGAATAGACGAGAAAGTACAGAATGGAAGGAAAAGAAGCAAAGGAATCACTTGACAAAAACCAAACTAATAAAGCAACCAGAATAGATTGAGCGCAACCATATTAAAATAAGGCCAAAAACTTTGGAAAAAGCATACTTGTTACCAAGAAGAAACCGCCCACTGCTGAGGGTAATTTTATCCCTCAATCCCAGTTCCTTGTACCTTTGATCTCTTTCCTATTTAACAATCAAACATCCCAAATAAAAAATGAAAAAGTTCAGGGTCCAATAACACTAAAAGGATAGCAACTAATGCAAAAAAGAAAAAGTATCTACACAACTTCACTTTTGTAGTGAAGCTAAGCGAAAAAATTGAAAGCAAACACGCATAACTTGGAGACGATAAATAAAGAAAAGTTACAATATCTCAAGGAAGGTTTTTGCTCAATAGAAAAGATACAAGCACCCAATTTGGAAGCATCATAAATATACAAGTGCATATGCTCACATATTTTTCAAAAAATAGTGCAATTAAAATGTCCGAACGTTCCAAATTCAAAGTGGTTTGTAGAGTGCAGCAACCTCATGTAACATTGAAATATCAGGAAAATAAAATAAAATAACATAGCAAATAAAACTATACTGTAAACCAGATTGACTAAAAAGGAAGTGACAAAATGGGAGAAAAACAAGTAAAAAATCAGCAAGAAATATTGGCCACCTTCTTTGAAAATGCTGCAAAGGGATTAATATCATCTTCATATATTTTCTTATACTTAGATTCCACATCAGAGCTAAAACCGCTTTCCAAGTCCTCAGCAAACTGAAAACAGTGAAACTTTCATGTTAATATAAATTTGAAGGGCATTATTTATATAAAATATACTGCAATTAAGCACCTTCTTTGATCCTCTGGAGATTACTTTCTCAGAATTGTAATCCTGAACATAGCGAATTTTTCCATAGAGTTTGACATTATCTGCTTTTGTTTTCTCAAGTTCAGATGTCAGCAGTCCAATCTTCTCCTTCAGCTGTCTTATTTCCTGTCATTTTTTTTTAAATGTTTGGCGACACAAATAAAACAGGGGATTAAACATGAGAATGGGCTGACTGCAATCATATCCTAGGTGCTATATGGCAAAAGAAGAGTATAAATACAGAAAAATATTAAAGAAAAGATCAAAGGTAACTCCTAATAAAAGACGCGAACCTCTTCAGTCTCCCGCAAGCGTGACCGAAAACGATCACGTTGATTGCAAATCACTTTCAGCATTGAGTTCTGATCTTGATCTGAAATAGCATGTTTTTGTTCTGCATTCTGTTTCAAGCAGAGTTCAGTCACTAAAATATATACTTCTTCAAACATAATTAGATATTGGCATCCACTTCGAACAAAATATATATTCTTCTTCAAAAAAGGCAACCTTAAATGAGGAAGCTTCATCGCAGGAGAGGAAGATGCATTAAAATCTTTAAAATGAAAAAAGAGAAGAAAAAAGAGGAGGATCTTTGAAAGGCATCCACCTTTAGTTGTAATATGGATCCCCAGTATCTTTTGCCATGTTTTATCTTTTTTTTCTGCACCATGATGTCTAAATCATTTCCTAAACAATTTCAATACCATTTCAACAATCAGGCATCTGAGAATTATCCTTCCCCATTTTGTTGGTTAAAATTGAAAATAAGTAGTGTATTATGAAAGTAGCTCTACCTTGGTGTCCAAATAAGTAACTTCTTATAGTTTTAAGTAAGAAAAAAGCAAATAATCATTTTTGGAAGTAAAAAGCTACTTAAAGTAAGTGCCAGTAACATTTAAGCTTAGACAGACAAGGTTTTCATCTCAATTGCAGCACAGATGACCTTGAATAGTACAACAGTCAACGGTTGCCTTCTGGCCAAAATAATATGGCTATTACCCACCACTTCTATATCTTAAGAAGGTTCCAAGATGAGAATACAAGGCATGAGATTATTATTAAGGAAAAATTCGAGTCATTGCCAAGTTGTGAGAATTATACTTCAAATTATTGAGATGTGAAGCTACGTAAGTCACGGGAAGGGAAACAACACAACTAAGCATTTCTATTTAATAAAAAGATCAGCAGATATCAGCAACAAAATTTTTTAACATACTTTGCAGCATTGTAGATTAAATTATTTGGAGATAAGAGTAGGGATAAGGAACCAAAAAAGAAACCAACCTCAGGTTGGTCTGAGCCTCCAGACTCTGACAGGTCCCAACCATCAAAGAGGGTGCCCTTTTTATCTTTTGAGCTGTAACCCTGCGTTATTGATACAGTTATTTTTAAACCAATATTCAAACAGTTTGCAAGTTTATTCCAATCCATATGTGAACAAAACCCACTTTTGGCATATTTCTACCAAAAAAAAAGAAAAAAGCTCAAAATAAATAGTCACTAATATTGTTAAGAAAAACACCATGACTGCCTAGAGCAGTTGAGCAGGCCTCACGTGAGACTTTCACTTAAACACCTCAAATCTTATGCATCAAGTGCCATTTGTCAAGGCTACGCCCACTGTTTAAAAATTTCGATTGAGGCTCGTGTCATAACAAAGCAAACAAAAAGGTATCAAGGCACTGATTTTGAGGCAGTTTGTGAAGTCCTGCACCTCATTTGAGTAAGGCACATGCCTCAAGGCTTGTGAGGCATGTGCTCTGTAATTCTCTAGCCCACTGCCCCACTAGCTATTACTAACACATTCAAAAATTGTCTTTCCTAATGAAACCTACTTAGGGATTAGTAGTCCGCTAAAGCACTAGTTACTTTTTATTACTTAATAGATTTTTCTTTCATTTTTTTTTAATTTTTTATTTTTTGGCACACTTTAAATTTGTTTTATTATCACTCCAAATATTGTTTATGATTTATCACATGCTTGTTTTTCATTTTAATAATTTTTTGACTTTTTTTTGGTTTATGATGAGGCTTACGCATTGTCTCACAAAGGAGACGCCCCAGTACAATT